ACCTGTATAATTTGAGTACAATACAAATTATAAGACAAAAGATAACACATGCATATTATAGACAATATGCATAATATAAGTAAATACGATTATTGTGTAGAAGACCAATGGATAATATTTATTGACCACAACATAAATCGATTTAAATTTTGCACACAGAGAAAAACCTTCGAGAAAATGAAAAAAATTATATACCCTTGACCAATATCCACTGTCTTCGATATCGTTGAAATGTGAGAGCCTATATATTATTACGATTTTCGACGTTTCCAATATTGTAGTGCAATTCGAGTAAATGGAACAAAAACTCCTTTGTCTAGCTCTTTCAGTTTTATCGTACGGTTTGTTTACTGAAATTAATTTGTATAATGTTATATAGACTTGAAATTATATACGACGATCTTACAAAACTTAAGCCTGTGTAATAAGAGTGTGTACGTATCTAATATGACTTATCGAAGCAGTATTTAGAGAGGCGTTGGGACCACAGGGTCCTGGCCCAACATGCATTAAATTTTCAATGTATCGTTTATAATCTAATCATGAGTAATATGGCTATTTTTTTATGAAAATGTTTTTTCTCTAGCAACATTCACGCAGAAACCATAATTCAAAATTATTGACAGAAAACTCTTTGAATATTATTATACATTTTGTTATTTTATTGGAAAATGATTACATTTTATCCTTTATATTATGTAAATTATTAAAGTGTCCAACATTTTGGAACACTGTATGCAATTTTAATTTTACTTCAAAATTTATTCATCTTAGAAATTAATAATGTATTTAGATTTTGACGAATGAATTATTATTTTTAACTAAATATTAATTTACAACTCTTATGTTTAGATACAATATCTTTGACGTTGTTTGTAAAACAATGTATCTCATTTATTTTTCTCTCAAATTAAACCCATGATAATATTGAATTGTAAAAGTATACATAAATTATTAGCGTTTTGGTAAAGAGTAAATAGATAATACTGAACAATACTATATTATAGAATACTGAATATAGGTACCTATATGGCTATATACTACTACATGTTGTCCGCTCCATTGAACATAAATGTTGTACACAAATATGCATATAATTTATACCTATAGAGGACATTGACTCAATTCCGAGAACGTTCTGTACAAATCTGTAACATTTTATACCGGCCATTTCGATTGTAATTTATTTTAATTCCAAATGGAGTACGAAAATTGTTTGACACTGTAACATATGACATTATAAAATTAATAAATATAATAATAATATAAAAATTATACGTGTTCAAATAAATATTAAATAATAATACCTGCAATATCACAGTGTATACTATATTTTTATTTCAAAAACCTTTCAGATGCTGGGCTTATTTTATGGGTTTTAAAGTAGGTAGTTATACCTATACTAATATAATTTTATTATTATTTATATATTAGTTTCGAACAATTTTAATTATAGTTTCACGAAACAACTTATACTCGCGTTTATATACTATATTTTTATGGTTTTTATTTTATTACTGAATAAGTAATTATATTTTTAATGCACTTATTATCCGTTATCTTCATCAGATGAATACAAAATCATTTGATATGGTTTAATATCAACAACGACAGCATTCCTGTAGCTTATAAGTTATACATACCTCTTGGTGTATTTTTTTTAGTTAAGTACTGCCAGTACTGATGATATTAAAGGCGATACTTTATGTACTTTCAATTAAACTATAGATTGATACACAGGTGTATAGTATTTCAATTATTTTTATTCATGATTTATTGTCCAACAAATATGAAAAATTGTAATTATTATTTGTGATTATAGGCCGGTTAACCTGTACTTTATGTATACGAGTCTACGCCCCTCGGTAGTGCTTTAATTATTATATTATACATAAACAATTTATATAAGGTATATTAAAATAAATTGAGTAGAAAGTTAAGATACACAGCATCCAATAAAGTTATCAAGTATATTATGTATGAGACTTATGTGTATTTGATTATAATTTAATAACTACAAATAATTTACAATGATATAGGTATACGCCTTATTTATATATAGGGTGTATAATAGCCAATAGGTATAAGTATTGTATAAATTTGAACCAACGGTTACGGTTTGTTAAAATTTATTTTATTTTTTTATAGAATGTGAAGATAAAATTTAAAATTATCTGCACATTTCGAATGTGTATGTATTAGTTAAAAAAATATGAGTTTTTCAAAATTAAAAAAAAAACAACAGTACAAGGATTATTTCTCTTAATTCTTATGCCTAGTAAGTTAAATCCAGTACGTTTAATAATTTATTAATCGAATCGATTTTTAGGCACAGAATTATGAATTTAATGAGTGTTAGTTTTCCTGTAATGTTTTTAACAAACTATACTTTGCAAATGTTACATCTAAATCTGTGTATTATGCATTTTATGTATATTTATGCACTAGGTGGGTAGTGGGTACTATTTTTGAATAATAACCTCAATTTTGCCATATTGTAATGACTTTAATATTAAAAAGTACTTGTACTGTATAATAATGGAGTATAAAGAAAATACATGTATAATATATAATATTATTAATTTATGATGTTTAGGTAACACATCATAATATTATACTATATATTATAGTGAATGGGGCTTATATTAGGTGTAGTTATTGTTATATCATACTAATCTGTAATCAATTCAAGTCATGCATTTTAAAAACGTGTTTTTTTTAATTAATTATAAAAGATCTATCATCATCTCAGTACTTTGTATTGAAATTTTCAAAGAAATAACGACTATATAATAAATATTAAGGTTAAAAATGTTTTGCAAGCTTATTGAAATTTAGAATGTGTAGGTACTCTGACACTACATTTTTGGAGCGACTATACAAACATTAAATCATAAAAACTACACTATTAATTATCAATTATTGAGCTTTTCGGTGTGTATGGTTTATGCTTAAAATAAGTTGTTTTATTTTTATTTTTTTATAAATTTTTTTTACGACTAAAATTGTATTTAACTAAATATTATTGTCGCTGTTGTCTATACTCTACAGTATACAACATATTTAAAGTATCCGAGTTAAATGATAATTTATCGATTTGTATTATATTCTGATTTTTACTGAGAATTAGGTACTTTATTATTAATGTCGTAGGACTCGTATGAATGTATTATGATTTTTTATTGCAAATTTATGTTCACCAAAACAAAGTTAGTTTTTTGATTTATTACATTTAATGTCTTCGATTTAGCCATAAAAATTATCGAAATGTCTCCAACTTTGTGCGTTGGTCGGTAAATCTTCAATCGTCTCGTGCTAACCGGCTTTGGCGTTTAACGATTCTGCATTCCGCGACTCGTCTTCAATTACCGTTAGAATGTGTATTCCAACCACTGGGAGGCACGGTATAGGAACATGAGTATGAAATAGGTATCAGGAGGTAGCCTTCCGGTTGATGAGACATTCCGCCAAAAAAAACCTACCTACCTACTGTGAAATCAGCGAACAACTTAAATCCCACGTGAACTTGAAATAATGTAATGCTATTTATTGCAGCGATGCACAAAATTAATAAATTAAATAGAGAAAAACAACGGATTCTATAATTTTAGTAAACTGCTGCAGCTAAACGGATTAGGCCGTATTAATTGAGTTTTAGGTATTCCACAATAACAGTGTATAAACTGTAAAGTGTTGGTAATCGATGACTGTGGACAATGATGCTTAATATGAAAAAAAAAATAACCTTTATTTAGTGTTAAATCCATAAGACTTACAATATGATTATAACGTATTCGCAGTTGTTGCATGCAATGCGTGATCCAATTATTCGTTAATGTTTGGTGTACAATTAGATTATATATTTTTATTTTAATCGCATTCTGAATGTTGAGGTATACCTACACCCCGACATTATATTTTTAGGATACAAACTAATGGGCTATTTTGAACTCATTCACACTTTATCATATTAAATAATATTTTCAGTGATTGGCAAAAGTATAAACATTATCTAACTCAATATGTAAGAAAGAGATCAGACTAATTTATTATTTTTAATTAGGTACAATGGTTATTGACTTATGACATTATACAGTGATGGGTTACAATGATTTATAGTACAATTACGGAGCATTAAATATAATATGTTGTATTAGATTGTACAACTTAGTTAATTCTAAGTATTTAAGCATTTGTTTGATGCTGTATGGAACTTGATCACTTTGATTGTATAAAAACTAATTTTATTTAATTACCTAATAAAATTGTAATTAATTGTTTTAAATCGTGTTTTACAAGGGCCTGTATATTATATGGCAATGGCTATATAGATTAGGTATCTATATAAGCTAAACTATTGTAATTTTTTCTTAAACATTGTATTCAATAAATGACTATAACATGATAGTTATTGCAATATTAAATGTTATCGTTGACATACTTGCACCAAATAATGACGTGAGAACTGAAAGTCTGAAAAATTACATTTTTTAATAGGTTTGGCACTTAGGATAACGTTAAATATTATTAAGTCTCTTTTTTTACCTCGTATAAAATAAAATAAACAGCTACCTGTCGATATTTTTGAGAGTTTTAATATTGTCTTATAGAAGTTGTCTGAAATTCAATACCTACATCTGTGAAACTAGAACGATATCGCGATAAACTAACACTTGATTCCTAATTATTACGATCTCGGAACAAGTATTTTATGTAATATCATCAGGATTATTGCAGCGCAAGCTGTCATTATTCATTATACCTACGTAGCGGGACCCAGCTACCTATCTGCAATTATTTAATAACTCAAACCATCGGTTCGTTGCTCGTAGTGAAAGGAATAACGTCTTTTATATATTGGTCAATTCAGCATTAATTTAATAATAGATAATAATAACCAGATAAAATATCATCGATGGGTTGATTTTAAAACTATATAATATTCTTCCCAATGTCTATATAATAGTATAATTCACAGAAAGTGCATCTGTCATTCACAGATTAATCATGCGTACCAGATGGAAGGAGGTGCTATTGGTAGCAGCGATGATGGTCTTCAACTCAAGTCTGTCCACCACTACGTCATGCGAAGACTTACAGTCAGAGTTCCGGTACCCTTGTGCTTGTGAGGAACTGAGACAGATCGGTGGTCTAGCGTTAAACTGCGATGGTGTGGTCTATCCAGGCGATCACGTGAATTTACCGAAGGATGCGCCAGTCTTGGTGTTCACCCAGAGAAATGCTGGTCACCATTCTGTGCCCACACATCTATTTCCGTCTACGGGTAAGTAATCAAATACAATTTTAAAAAGTGAATAAATGTTAATTTTTCCGCTTTTATAGTCAAACTAGACTTGTCACAAAATTCTATAAGAAGATTGTCCGAAAAGTCATTTAATACCATACAGAATGCAGTTGAAGATCTGAGGTTAGCCGGTAACTTATTAGGGGACACCTTAAATCCAATATTTTCTACTACGGAATTTCATGGATTATCGAAGCTAATACGATTGGATCTCAGCGAAAACAGGATATCCTCCTTGGAGGAAGGCATATTAAAGGGTTGTGTACATTTAGAGGTAAAGTATTATAAATCGATCACTGAACTAAAAATATGTAATATATGTCATCATAAATAAATTTCACAGGAACTGAAGTTGGACGGAAACCGTTTAGCATTTATACCCAGCACGTCATTGAATGGCCCCGAAACACTACGGACTTTATCTTTAAAAAATAACAGAATTGGTATTATAATGATTCAATTTTTCGTCTAATTTATCAATATTAACAGTTAATTTTTCCGTTTTCAGATAGTATTCAACAAGGCTCTTTTCTGTCACAAAAATCTTTAATAAAGATAGACTTATCGTCAAACAGAGTAAACAACATTGAAATAGGAGCATTTGAAGGTTTATCGGTGTTGAAACAGCTTTTGTTATCAGAGAATCGACTGTCAAAATTTAACAGTGATGTTTTTTATGGTAATTTACTAGAAAAACATTTTGTACATGTAGTAGATAATTTAATTACATATTTTCGTTTTTACAATTTTTAGGTGCGGAAAAGCTGGACAAATTAGACATTTCAAACAATTTTATTGTTGAATTTCCATCGCTTGCTTTAAAAAAATTTGATAATTTAAAAATATTAAATTTATCTTCAAATTTAATACAAGTAAATATTGTAACATGCAATTATTAAATACGTTTTGTTTTAAATTGGAAAAAAATGTGTACTGCGAGTTACTACTCATTGGTTATATAAATAACATTTATTTCAAGAAACACATGTTTTAATTTATTGTATACTTTTTATTTTAGAAATTGGAGAATTCGCAATTAACGTCATTAGAAGTCTTAGACGTTAGTAGAAATAATATTGGGAACATTTCACCGGGAACTTTTACGAGCTTAAAGAAATTAAAAATCTTAAACTTGGCTGTAAACATGTTAAGAACTGTATGTTAAATATTTGACGTTTTTTGACTATTCAGCGAATTCGATTTATATATATTACATATTTGACAGGTTGAAGATGATGCTTTTGAAGGTTTAACAAATCTTGAATCGTTGTCTTTGGAAGATAATAACATCTTATTGATACCCGCAACTGCCCTCAGTAAATTACCGCGTTTGAGCAAATTACGTCTGGATTACAATAGAATTGCAGCACTTTCTTCGAATATTCTTCGAGGGTTGTCAGAAATCTTAATTGAACTAGGTTTGAGTAGGAACGTCATCAGAGAAATACCGCCAGATGTATTTCAAGTAAGCGTTACATGAAAAATGAATAAGTAGTTTTTATTTTTATTAATATAACATTTTTTTAGGATTTTAAACTCTTAAAAGTTCTTGATTTATCGGGAAATTTACTACTGTCTGTAGAACCGTCGACGTTCTCTGGTTTAGAAGACACTCTGGAACATTTGAATCTTCAAGGTAACAGAATTGCCTCGCTTTCATCGGAGCCAATCAATCTTCAAAAGTTGAAAACTCTCGATTTATCATACAATCAACTAAAAGAAATACCTAGACATACATTTACTGTGATGTCTTCGTTGTCAAGTTTAAACTTGAGCCACAATCCTCATTTAGCTTTGATACCTGTTAGCGTATTCCACCCATTGACACAACTGCAAAAACTCGATATCAGTTTTACTAGCATAAAAGTCTTGAGTCCCGAATTGTTTTTCAAGACTTCGTCACTTACTCACCTTTACATACAAAATAACGGTATCACTGAGTTGCCAGAAACCATGTTCCAAAGTTTGACTAACCTTGTTACATTAGATTTATCGGAAAATCAAATATCAAACATACGTATTGGTTCATTTATGGGCCTCTCTTCTATTAGATATGTAAATTTGTCTAAAAATAAATTGTCTTCATTCAAAGGAGAATATTTTATTACAAAACGAAGCAATGGAACTCCACTGGAAGAGATCGATATGTCTAATAATCAAATTAGTTATTTGTTCCCGTCTACGTTCAAAGTACATCCCAATATAAAAATTATCAAAGTATCAAATAACAAGTTCAACTTTTTCCCCTCAGAGCTTATTGCTGGTCTGGCAAAATTGCAAGAAGTAGATCTAAGCAAAAATAGTCTGAAAACACTAGAAGAATTTGATTTTGCTGGTTTGCCACAATTGAGAAAATTAAATTTGGCGAATAACCAAATAGACACTATAAGCGAGACGACGTTTCATAATTCTACCCAATTGCAAAACATTAAATTGGCCAACAATAATTTGGAACGAATCGGTGAGAGAACTTTTCAAGGATTGAATAGATTACAATACTTGGATTTGGAAAATAATAATTTGACAGAATTGCCCGATTTAATTTTCGACCGAACCCGTTTAAAAGTTCTCGAGAACATTAACTTGGCAAAGAATAGGTTTACGATAGCACCGTTGAAAAGTTTGCAGAAACAATATTTCTTTTTGTCATCCGTAGACTTGTCTTCGAATCAACTGACCGAGTTGCAGACCGACGACAGCATATTAGTGAACATTAAAAAACTCGACTTGTCGTTTAACCATCTATCTGAAGCGACCATTAAAAACATACTCAGTGAACCCAAAACGGTACGGGAATTGAATTTGGCAGGCACCGGTATCACGACATTATCGCCCTTGGAAACACCTTTTCTACAAAAACTGAATCTATCCTATAACCGGATAAACGAAGTGGACGAACACATGTTTGACCGATCGACACTGATCGAGGAACTTGATTTGTCGCACAACGAATTGCAAAGCATGACGTCCCTGAGGGCCGTTTGGCCGAAGTTGAATCAAGTGCAGCTGGTCGACGTTTCTTCGAACCCGATATCGAACCTAGTCGTGGGCGACTTTGACAAGCTGGAATCGTTGCGGTCGTTGAGGATCAACGATCTGCTGGAATGCGACAAGATCGAGAAGAACGCGTTCAGAAATCTCGGCAACCTGGTCGAACTAAAAATGTACGAGTTCCCGAAACTGGGTTACCTGGACGTCACTGGCTTGTTGAACTACCTGCAGTCGTTGGAGGCGCTCGAGATCGAAGTGAAAGACTCGTCCATCGGCAGTCAGCTGTCGGCCGCCATGAACCCCAGGCTCAAGTCGTTGACCATACGCGGACAGCGGATCACGTCCATATCGTCGGGCGCTTTGGCCGGCCTCAAGTACAGGCAGGTGCACATCCGAATCCAAAACACGTCTCTGACCGGTCTGCCGCCGTCGCTGCTGATCGCGTTGCCCCGGTCGTCGGTCATCCAACTGGACGTGTTCGACAACCAACTGGCCACACTCACGTCCCAGTTCCTGGCCGCCCTGGACGACCGCCGGAGCTCGTTGAAGCTGAACGGCCTTCGAGCCAATCCCATCTATTGCGACTGCAACGTCAGGGCGCTGAGGCGGTCACCGCTCGCGTTGGACTTGGTGTGCTCCGCTCCAGCGTTCGTGGCCGGCAGCCTGCTGATCGAGATACCGGACGACGACCTGACCTGTGACGTCAGCCGGCAGACCACTACCACGACGACGACGACGTCGACAACCGCCGCGACCACGACCGCGGCCGCGGCCGGCCCCGTCGTCGTCAAAGCGCCCAAACCGCGGACGACCACCGAGCCGGACATCATATGGTCGCTGCCGCCGGCCACCGCCAGTCCACCGCACCAGCAGCAGAAGTCGCCGGCCATCGCCAAGTCGCCCAACCCGGCCGCAGCAGCGGCCATCACCAACGACGACACGCTGATCATCGGCATCGTGGCCGGCGTCGTGGTGTTCATCGCCATACTGGTGATCATCATATGCATCGTCCGCATACGGCTGTCGACCGCCGAGTACAACTCGCACATGAACGCCCTGCCGCCCGTGCTGGGCGCCCCGATGCACTGCACCAATCAGGCGTGCCCGTGCCCCAAGGCCAACGGCCAGAACGTCCTGTACCCCATGTCGGCGGCCGCGTCCTACAGCAACAGTTACGCCACGCTGCCCGCGCACAAGCTGTCGTCCGTGTCGTCGCCACTGCGGCAGTCGTACAACGCGCTGAAAGTGCCCGCGCCGTACACTCAAAACCCGTACTACATACCGTACGGAGGCGGCGGCGACGAGAAGGACTACGCGATGAGCATGCGATAGCCGCGCGCTGTTTCAGTGGCGTCCGGCGACAGTGGCGTCGATCGTCTCGCCGGTGGATTCGACCGCAGATGACGTTCAATCGGCATTATCATATGAATATTAGCAGATTTGTTACGATGCGCCACTGCTGCAGGGACAGACGGGTAGGATAGATGAGGAACACTTCGACCGGACATTGTAAATATGACGAGACGGTGCAAATCATCAGTATTATTATTTAATATATATATACTTAGATATAAGTGGTATGATATTTAGGTATCGTTATCGTTTTATACCCATTATTATGACACAAACAGCGAGAATCAAAAACACCACTGTTGTACAAAATATAATTATAAAAACAGTTTCCTCATATATTACGCGTAATTGTATCTGTCTTGCCATTGTATATATTAACATATTATTATATAGGTACTATATTATATAATATTTATATTGTTTTTTTTTTTTTATATCAGCTGAACTCCCCCGAGCAGGTACTATATATGTGGTTGGTAAATGGTAGGTACAATAATTGTATCTCAAAACAACCGCAATCGTTTATGACAGACTTATAAGCTGTACATATACTTCTATAATGTACTAGTTTTATTTACATATACATACAAAACTTTAGTTTGTAGAGTAAATATTATGTTATGTTTTTTTTTTTTTTGTTAAAATTGTACACTTATTTTTTTAGTTAGTCTAGTTGATACGACGACTACGTCTAGTTTTTACGATACCTAGTTAAAACTTTTTATCGGGATGCAACTATATACTGTACAGTTTTAAAATTATAATTTTATAGGTAAGCATCTACCTACGTACGTTGTCCAATTGTACAATCCATAAATAAAGAAATAATATGTGTACAGAATATTTTTTTTTTGACGACAAAATGTTTTATACTGCGATCGCGATGACAACGCGAGGACTGGTTGTGGAGTAGGTAAATGGTAAATGAATCATATTATATAGTTGTATATATATTATAAATGGTGAGGTGCTTTAAATTTTTTTATTCATGCTCGTTATTTTGTTATATTATCATTGAGAACGATTTAAACATTGATAGGTATTATATAAAATTTAATCAAATTATTTTATTTATTCAACTATGACTAATGAATAATGATATTGCATTACTATTTACCAAGTGACTCTATAGGTAATGAGTAACTTCCTCTACAACTCTTACAATAATTGAATTATGATTGAATCATAATTACTTATATAGTTATATTGCATATTTGTATCACGTTAGTCTACAGATTGTTTGGTTTTATTAATTTATATATATTTAGTAAAAGCAAAAAAAAAATGTCTTCAATTATAAATTACATCATTTATTTGAAAATAATAATATCATTGTAGGTACCTACTTTTTACCTAGTTTTTACCATTACTAAGTAGAAGATTATCTTACCTAATTAATAATAATTTTATAATTTATTTATAGTTGATTTTTTTAATAAAAAAATATATTAATATATCAACCGTTATACATTAGAACAATATTACATGGATAGCCTAGTATAATTTTTGAATTTAAAACCTATATTATAGAAGATAACATTAAGAACTGCTTTAATTTGAGTGACATTATGAGACAATTAAGTATTAAAGGAAATTACATCAATATTTAGTAGGTATGACCAGTATGGGATATGTTGAAATAGCTGCATATGAACTGAGTCCTAATAAAATCTTTTATAAACAAATTGAGTCCTGGTTTGTTTTATGGTGTATACATATCGTCCCATCAAACTTAAAAAAAAACACCTTCCTTCTAATTTTTAACAGAATTAGGACAGTTATTTTATTTTTGAAGTATTTTATTATATAATAATGCATGGGTATAATATATGCATAATTCACGTCATGTTATTTGTGTTTAAAAATACTGAATTTAGGTGATGATTAAATAATCTTTTTAATATTGGTAAAAACATATGTGATAAATATTGTATATTTTCAAATTGTGTTCTCAAAGTCATAAAAATATCAACTGATATGAACGATATCATGTAGTTGATGGACACGACTATGTGTTAAAACACCATAATTGGTTGATTTTATATTTTTCTAAGAATATATCTAGAACTAAATAGGTATAATTTTCTTTTATACCCAGGACTCAATTAGTTGATTACTTTTTCCCACTCAGGCATGGGACTCAATTAGTATACAGAGGTTGAAATTGAGGGATGAAAACAAGTTTTTTCAATTTTAGGAGGAAAAAGCTGGATGGATTATTATCTAGTATAATATGATCTATGTGACATACAACACTACCACAATTGAAGAAGATATGATAGGGACTACAATCTGTAGTTTATAGGATCTATAGTTTATCTACATAGGAAATATTGGGAAATCTTGATATTTAATAATTAATGATCATTGATTTACGCATTTAGTAAATATTTAGATAATAATATGTGTTCTATGATATTTAATATTTATTATGATTTATGACTATTGAATAATTTATAATTAATTGTATTGAAAAAATATATGAATATTATTTATACAGATGAATTTGTTATATGTATTAAATAGTACTTTTTTTTTAAATGCAAATGGTCTTTACTTAAATCATATATTTTGTGGCACAAATAAACATTTCAAGTATTTCATGGTAGAGATGTAAGATATCGATAAAATCTGAGGTCACAAAATGTTATTTCCACATTTTCTAACATAATATATAATGATAGGTCTTGATGTATAGATTTTAATTCTTCATAATAAAGTCAAATATATTTTTAAGAAAAAAAAAAAGGTAATGATAGGTGAGATGAAATGAAAACACTCCTGTTGTTGGCCTTTAAATAAAAGTGTATATATATATTTTGTTGTTTTAATATAATTACCTACATAAAATAAAAGATACAATGTATATTTGTGAACCATTGTTCGTTTTAAGTATTATAAATATTATATAAAATATATAAAAGAAAAAAAAAATTATAACAATGAGCAATTGTATTATACTTTATTTGTGTATGTAATATGTTTTTTTTTGTATGCTACTAAAGTAAAATGCAAAAGCGAGGCTCAATAATATTTATACAAAAATAATTTAGATTACTGTTGTGGAGGTTGTTGAGGTTGAGGTACATAATTCATGACTTGTGGTAATGATTCAGACTGTACACTGTGGCCTGGACCATACACTTGATTATAATTGGAAATGTTCTGCATATTGGGCATTTGATATGATGGCTGTTCATGCATCTGGCCTCCAATGCTTTGTCTGGGCATCATGTGACTGGGATTAACTGGATACTGTGATCCGGGCATATAATGTTCAACTGGCAATGGTGCGTAGTTGGCCATCATACCATTATACATTTGCATGTGCTGTGGGTGCTGCATCATATGTTGTGGTGACATAGTGGGAGGTTGTATAGGTTCATTTTGTGGTTTGGGTGCATAGCCCGCCACTGGGTCTTTCATGAATATGTTATACAATTTAACCGCTTCTAAGAGTTCAGTACATAACTGTGTGAGTTGGGAATGTTTTTTGTCGAGCTGTTCAAGTTGAGCTTCTATCATTGGTCCCATAGCGTTTGCTTGTGCTTCCAATATGGACATTTCTTCAGTATCTGTACTGTCATCTTCAGGGTTTGCTTCGCGCAATAGCTGAAGCAAACAGTCAATTTTATTCTCATCGATTTCAACAGACTTATAATCTTCAGCAGAATGTTTGACTTTTGATTTCTTTGTATTGACTTCTTCAGCAATGTCCTTTGGACTCGATAAATCTGTGGTTACAAAATTTGCTGGAAAAAGACCTTCAGGATGTTTGTCAGTAAATCCTTTCCACCAATTAGGATCAGAAGAATCCAGAACATAGATTATGTCTCCAGCAGAGAATGACAGTTCATTGTCTTCGGCTGCCTCAAAATCATACAGAGCTTTTACTTTTTTTAAATATGCTCTCCGATCTGTTTCACCTGTTGGTTTTTTCTGTGCAGAACGTTCATTTTCTAGTAAACTAAGTTCAATAGCTTTAGCTATATCATCTACTTCTTGTAATGATACCAAATCTTTTGATTTAGCACTTTTTGAATGGTTTACATCTGAAGACAATGAAAAGTCTACACCTTCTTGTTTTAATTTTGCATACAAAGATGGTATAAGATTCAACTGTGGATCATTTTTGAATTCATTTTCTGCCCATTTTTTTAATAGTAATTTTAATCTATCTGCAACTTTTTGAGGTAAATTTTTAGCTAATAATTTACGGTATTCCTGTTCAAAATGTCTGGAAGCCACTTCGAGAAGGAAATTCTTTCCACAATTGTTAACGCAGGCGTCAAAAAGTGTAATGGCCTGGAGTACAACATGTGGGTCTTGGTTATAAAGTCTTTTTATTATCGACTTAAAACAGTCTTTGGAATTCACCGATGAAGCTCCCACTTTATCACATATTTCCATTATTAAAGCCCAATCTTCAGTTGTGCTAGTACCACTTGTTGCCTTTTCAACATCAGCGTCAAATGAAGACGACAACAGGAAGGATCCCATGTTTAGTATCACACTAAAATAAATAAATAAAACAATTAAAAAATAACATGTATTATAGATGCCACTTTTTCAATATTTATTGTAAGTCAATCATTTTAAGGATTAGGTAACATAAGTTCTTAAACTTAAAGTGGCAATATAAGAAACTTATTTTAGTGAAAACAATTTAAAGACATGAATAAAATAGATAGGCACATGAAACATTGTTCAATTTTTACAATGAGATGAGTTATAATACAATTATTTATTTATAATAAAGCAATTTAGTTTTACAGTGTTTAAAATTTTAGAATAAAAAATTAAAAATTTTATTTTTATTTAATCTGGATAAAAGTATAACTGTTAATCTGTTAATACAGTATATTGTTAAATTACTAGCGGATAATTCGATTTTGCCAAGAAAAAAAATCAAAACTTTGACTACTGCTATATTTAGAGTTATATTGGTGTATCTCAGTTTACTGGGAAATCGACAACGATGTAATAGCCTTGGGAACATTTGTCAACCTTTGACTAACATGGGCAACCTGCATTTAACATTTTGACACAATGCATACAAACAATAGGCACATAGCACTTGGTATATTTGTATGATATATATTTTCATACTATACTCTAAACAGTCTAAACATTCCTAATATATCTAAGAAAATTTTTTAAAACTTTTGTCAAAATTGGTCGAGTAGTTTTTAAGTATATAAACTACAAATATATTATGGGTATTGTCTTTTGTTGCACCTATATATTATCGCAGGATAATAATACACTATGTAACGTATCTTTGAATTTAAATATAAATTAGATAACAAAATAAATGTGTAAATAAACTGATAAGTTCAATATTAAATAGATATAATTATGATTTAGTAGGTAATTACATTGTTTGTTGTAAATAATTAATCTTCCACTTCAACTTCCTTAGCACTATTAATTTAATTTAAAATTAACTTAAAAATTAATTTTTCAATCAAAGTTAGATTATCAACAAAATGATAGTAAAGTGTCAAGTTAAAATAAGAAAATTATAACAAGTATCTACTAAGATAAGTAATTATTAATGATTGTCAGTAAATCAACTAAAATAAATAGATGATTCAAATTAGCATCGATACATTTTTGTTAATTATTATAAATGAGTACATACAATTAGTAATAATAATAAAATAATACATTGTTAACAACTAACAATGTGTGAAGAACAGTATGTTGACTGTAAATAATGGGTAAATACTATAACTGAAAATCTATTAATATCTAAAAACAGAGTAACACAAAATTTTATAACTCCATATCATGAAAAACATAATTTAGGGGTTAAAATGACCTCCACTAGGCACAGGGGACTAAGATCCTGTACATTTGACGCTGATTAAAAAGTGTCCCCCTTAAAAATGTATCATAATTTGTGATTTAAATTTTACAAGAAACAAATTACAAATTTGAATATTATTCAGGGTTTAAGGTGGGATGATATCCCACCCTTGCCTACCCAATCACTGTTTATACATTATAGTCATTATACATATAATTATATGATATGATACGCCGACAACTATATGGAGACATTAGACCTCCCTGGAATTTATTTCCACTATAAGTACTGCACTTATTGCTATAAAATCCATTAGAAGAAATGCAGATATATAAATATTGCAATTTCTGGTAAATAGTTCATACGCCATATAAAAAAAATGTCATGGTGAAGTAAAGTGATTGGAAATGTATGGAAAGTTTGACATAGAAAACTCAAGGTTCCATTACAAGTTATATAATCTACATAATCTAAGAATCTAGCAAGTTGACATTGTTGACGAAACTGTGGTCACCACAAATTGGTTTATTTTCATTGGAGGTGATTAGATCTACTGTAAAGATCTACTGTAAAGTTCTACTTACATAATAGAAATCCCTTAAAGGACCTCAAACAGCTAAGTTCCCGCGGCCGATTGTCAATTGACAGTTACTCGGAAATGAGATCGTCGAGATAGTGCCACAGCAGAAAATATGCTGAATCAGCAACACGGATTCGTAGATGTTATTATAAATGTTGCTGTTTCTATTTGTTCAAGTAGCAGTATAACATATGTACTGTTATGCGATGTTTATTAAATAAAAGTGTTTAATTACTAAGTGTTGACAAAAGTCAATAAGAACAAGAAGTATTTTGACAAAGGCGAGGCCAGGGTATTATTATGCATTTCATTTATCGACACAACAATGATAACAACAATCACCTGATTACAGTGATTACTCATCAGACAAGATAATGTAGTTCGGTCGATGCGGTATAAACTATAAACCACATTGGTTTGCTATTAACCTAAAAATCAAAATATTATTTATTTATTTTATAAAATGTTGTTTATCAAATGTAGTTACTAATTATACACTTAAACACGTATTCCGGTAAGTTTAAAATTTTTGTATTATTCACTATTACTGCCCAGACGTTCATAATTTTTTTGTTACGTTCAATTATGAAATATTGTCTTTCGTTTATAAACTTGTTGAACAATTTGATTTATGTAACAAACAAATAAGGGCATTTTTTAAATTAAAAAATTTATTACATTTTTTTTCATAGACTTCGGTAACCCGACTACCAAGATGCCCGAAAAAGTTGAAGAAGTGCCTACTATTGGCATTATTTATCCACCGCCAGAAGTAAGGAGTATCCTTTTTACTTGACGACATTGATTAAATTACCTACTTTTACTTTGAATTGATTTTTGTTTTACAACAAACCTAAAGTTTTGTACCTAATATACTGATTACAAAAGAAATTTATTTAGATGTACAAGTATGAAATTGTTAATAATTTACTCAATTCATAGTATAAGTTCTTATTGTTTAACTGTTCTGAAAAAGAATATGAGAAATACATCTTTGGACAAAGAATTCCATCATTCTGCACAGGAGCAATGGTCAAATCAGATGTTATTTACAGGCTATAATAAATAGGATATGTTTGTAATTCATTAAATTGTTCCTTAACTGCCTCTTAATCAAGATATTGTTGATAAAACTGCCAGTTTTGTAGCACGAAATGGACCAGAATTTGAGTCTCGTATTCGTCAAAATGAATTGGGCAATCCCAAATTCAATTTTCTTACCCAAGGTGATCCCTACCATGCATACTATGTACACAAAGTCAAAGACCTCAGGGAAAAAGCTAGTGAGTATAAATATTTTAAATTGTGTTGTAGTAGGTACCTACAAATGTTACTTATTTTCTAATTATTTTTTTTTATTTTTCTTCAGCACAAGAGCCAACCTTACCACCTAAAGAAACAAAAAGCATGTCAACTGCCACCCAACTTAAACAACAAGAGCTCCTGAAGCAAGTACAGGAAGCAATATTTGTACCAAAAGATCCACCGAAAGAATTTGAATTCATTGCCGATCCTCCATCAATTTCAGCTCTTGACTTGTATGTATTAATAATTAACTTTGCCAGTAAACATTAACCAATGCATTTTGAAATTTCAGAGACACGGTGAAGCTTACAGCATTATTTGTTGCTCGTAATGGCAGACAGTTTTTAACCAATCTGATGGCAAGGGAACAACGTAACTTTCAGTTTGACTTTTTACGTCCACAACATTCACTATTTCAATATTTCACAAAGCTTCTTGAACAGTACACTAAAGTGTTGATGCCCCCTAAAGATCTTATAAAATGTTTAAAAGAAGAAAGTTATGATCGACAAAAAATTTTAGATGATGTAAAATATCGTTCTGAATGGCAAAAACACCAAGATGCTTTACGTAGAAAGGAAGAACAGCTTATAGAAAAAGAAAGATGTAAGTTTTATCATACATTTTATAATATACAGATAAGCCATCTCTTAGAAGTTTTCAGTGACTAAAATTATACTGTCAGACACTAGGTTTGCTGTATCCTATTACATTGCATATAATTGAAGTCACCGAAAACTCCTATGCGATGCCTTATCTATGTATTATAAAATAAATGGTTTTATTAAGATTTTACAGCTTTTGATAATCTCATAAAATGCATACAATTTTTCAGTGGCCTATTCCCAGATTGATTGGCATGATTTTGTTGTTGTAGAAACTGTTGACTTTCAGTACGGTGAAATTGGCAATTTCCCTCCACCAACTACACCAGATCAAGTTGGTGTACGTACATTAATGCAAGAACGTGTTGATAATGGAGAAGAAGCTGTTGAAATGAGTGATGTAGAAGACGATATGCAAGTAGACAGTGATGATGAAATGGAAAAACAAGTTAATGGTAGATTGTATGCACCGGAAAGTGAACTAAAAGTGCCCGGCGAAGAAAAATCCAGTAAAGACAACAACCAGGTAATATTTAAAATTTAATATTTATGTAGTAAAACCTTTTTTATACTATTTAATTTAATTCAAAAAAAGGTTCAAGACATGGATGAATCGTCCAGTGATGATGATGGTGATTTGCCACCAGGTGTTTCGAAATCTGATAGTTCAAACCAAATGGCTCAACCTGCTGTTCCAGAAAAGGTTATTGTGAAAAAGGGATACAACCCTAAACAAAGTAAGGCATAGTTTACTCAACATAAAACATGTATATTAGTTGAACTACTATTTGGCTTTATATATTTACAGTTGTTCGAGCACCAGTTAAAGCACCTCCCGAAGAATATTTAATATCTCCAATTACTGGTGAAAAGATACCGGCAAGCAAAGTCCAAGAACATATGAGAATTGGATTATTAGATCCCCGTTGGGTAGAACAACGAGACAAGCATATCAGTGATAAAATGAATCAGGAATCTGTGTATGCTCCAGGTAACTATTTTCGACATATTAATATTCCTAATTTGTTTTTAAATTATTATTTTATCCATTTAGGAGCTGCTATTGAGGCTAGTTTAAAACAGTTAGCTGAACGTCGTACTGATATATTTGGTGTTGGTGTGGAAGAAACTGCCATTGGTAAAAAAATTGGAGAAGAAGAATATAGAAAAGATGACAAGGTAAGAAATATATTATGTTATATGGGAAAATGAATTAAAAATATAATTTTTTTTTTAGGCTACATGGGATGGGCACACCTCTAGTGTAGAAGCTGCAACTCGTGCAGCACGAGCTAATATTACCTTAGAAGATCAAATTCATCAAATTCATAAAGTAAAAGGTCTAATTCATGATGATGAAAAAGAAAAAATTGGTCCAAAACCTGTATCAGGTACAGTTACTATTTCTCATCCGCCTACTTCTCAAGCCGTTTCTGTACAAATGTCGTTGGCTAGTAATATGCATAATGCAATGATGCAACCACATGCACCTAACATGATGCAATCACAACCTATGATGATGGTTCAGCAACAACAGCAGATGATGAGTGAGTTAAAAATTTTATTTGAATAAATAAAAAAAAATTAACTTAATATTTAATTATTATGGATATTAGTTCCTTATAATATGGGTTTTACGTTTGCCATTGTGATATATTTTGTAAAAACCAAGATTTGGGTCAAAATATAATTTTTTTATGCACTAAATTGTCTTTAAATAATATTAATTGTTCTTAGTTACTTATTGGTATTAGCTTGTTTTCAGTTCCTCAACCTCAAGCTTATCAAGTAATGCCACCCCAAATGCCACCAAATCCATTTTTGGGAGCTGGTAGAGGAATGATGCAACCTCCATTACCCCAGGCTCCAGTATGTATATTAAAGCATTTTCCTTTAAGTAATAAAAAAAGTTCTGTTGATTATCATGTATAAATTTGTTAATTAGCCTGGAATGAAGCACATAATGGAAATTGCTGAAGATGAACCGCTTATGAAGAAACAAAAGACAGAAGATTCTTTAGAACCTGAATTACAGTTTATGTTGAAGTTTAAAGTAAATAGTTTAAATTACTTTTTTAAAATTCTAGAATCATCTACTAACTAATTATAAATTTTAGGGTCCTGTCATGTTTAATGTTGGAACACCTATTCTAACCGACAAACCCGAATGGGCCCTCAATGGACAGTTACTAAATATAACATTACCGCTACAAGAAACAGTGTCTACGATCAAGACAAAAATTCATGAGTTAACTGGAATGCCACCTGGCAAACAAAAACTGCAATGTGATGTATGCAAACAAATTCTATCTTTAAAATTATGATCAAAGTATTAAATTAAATTGTTTTTCAATCATTTTTCTAGGGATTGTTCTTCAAAGATTCCAATACGTTAGCTTATTATAACATAGGGCCTGGTTCGACTATCCATTTGCAATTGAAAGAACGTGGTGGTCGTAAAAAGTAATCTCAAAAACAATGAAAATAATTTTAAATTGTTTTATTTACTATTGTAATATTTTATAACATATAATTATATTCATTGCATACAATAAAACATATGTTAAGTATCAACGTCATAATGTTAAACCAGTTCTGTTTATATAATATGTGTTGCTTATTTCCTAGTTGCAGATAGCACCTCTTTAATAATATTATTGTACCGCTTAACCATTGGAGTGTAAATCTAAAAATAGTAATAATAAATAAGTATTATTCTTGTATAAATAATATGTGTCTTTGACTTACTTCATAAGCGTCTTTATGAGGAGAACAAGCTAAGTTGGGAGGAGCAGCAGTGGTTACCACCGATTGAAATGAATCGACACAGTCAATGCATTTACTTTGAACAAGACCACGTTTAGCCTGGTACGCAGCGCCCAGAACCGCTGAATTGGCAGCTTCCTAAAATTATGTCAATCATATATAAATGTCCTAAAAAGTGATGAAAATTATTTTACTGACTTGTGTATAAACAGGTGCGTTAAAAACGTCGGATAAAATTTGTAATATTGTATTATTGTTTGAAGCGCCTCCCGTAGCTATGATCCTCGTCTTGGCATCTGTTTTTTTTTTTAATTCGATATTAATAATTATTTATACTTAAGTTTTTATACTCTTGAATATTATACTAATATGAACGTGAAATGTGTGACATTATGCGAACCTATGGTGTATCCCAACTGTTCGGCATGCGCCCTTTTAGCTATGAACTGCCCCTCGACTAGCGCTTTGACTTCGATCTCCCGGCTGGGAAACCTGTCCACGGGCCCGTCGTTCTTATCGAAACGGTAGTCACCCTGTATCCACGGAATGATCTCCTGTTCATCATAGTACAACCCCAGGTATCCGAAATTTCCTCTGGGCGTCCTCTCCAACAATGTGTTGAAGTGGTCCCACGAATCGTTGGCATAGTGATTTCTCAGTCTTTCGCGGGTCAACGAGCCATTCTTGAAACTTAAAAATATCTCGAAGTCATGCTTGACTCTGTGCGTGTCCTTACGTATAGTGTAGTACTGCAGTGTATAATTACCACAGGAGCACCATGTACGCGTCTGGGTTGATCGGGCTGACCAGGACGTGTCCCTCTTCCAGACACCTGGGCTCGTCCAGCGGCAAGAACAGCGTGTCACTGGTCCCGAGGCTTATGGCGATGTCGTTGTCGCTCAGGCACAGGCCGGCCAGCGACGCTGGATTGTCACCGGTAAACGACACCACCCGGCACTCGGGACTGAACCCGAACCTCTCCACGTAATAATTGCTGATCGGGCCCAAGTCGGTACCCGGCGGCACGGTCCGTCCCAGTCTCACGTCTAGCCCCGGCGCGCACGCCTAAATTCCGAACAGGACTATAGACATACTGCTATGTGGTGTAATTTATTATAATGTCGTCAAATTATTTACTTCCAAGCATTCGGTCGACCACTCTTTGGTCTTGATGTCAAACAGATTCATCCCCGAACCGTCGGACCAATCAATCGGGGCGTATGCACCAAGTAATAACGAACAGCCGAAACTGCTCACTAGCGATATCCTCTAGAAAAGTATAAAACATAATATTAAATTAATTCGGGAGGGCGACTGAGGAGAAGTCTAACTTCTGTGTTCTGGTAGGCTCCTGGTTTGTTTTCCGCCATTTTGGCGATTTGCGGCCCGGAAAACCTCTCGTACGCCTTCGATCCGGTGATGTCGGCCAATCGCTATGTAAAAAAAAATAAAATATGTAGCATGTATAACTAAACTACTAAACAATTCAATTAATTTTTCGAGTACCTATAACTGTTTATTAAAACCTTCTTAAAATAGTTACAGATATCGTGTGTGCGCGGAGAATAGTCGTACCTCTTACAGTTAAAAATTGTGATAAACAAATGTTTTTTTCTAAAAATTATAGATTTACAAATTGGCTATTTTGAATTTTTCCAAAATCTATATTGATTAGAACTAAAGTTATTTAATTTGTTAGGTCATTCTGTTAGTTATATACCTATTGCTATAATAATATGAACAGATGTACTATATAGACATATAGCATATACACCCAACCTGTGGTCCTCCGACAGCGTCCTCGAGGTCTTTACATTGTTTCGTGGTGCTGGAGTCCATCCACACTGGTGAGTTGACCACGGAAAAACAAGACGCCAATTGCATGTGCAAAAATCCAGCGGGGTTCAAAGTTTGCAGCGTTTTTTCAGCACCATTCGTCCAATAGACAGTGCCGTGTTGCTGCAAATAGTATGTAAATTATACATAAATATAATAACGAATTTTTTCAATTCTCAAAACAACTGAAGTATTCAAGTAGGTGTGCAAATGAAAGTTGAGGATAAATCCCAAAATCGGAACATTATCGTTATTATCTTATTATATGCATAATATTTTTGGTCAATTCTGTTATGGCATTTTTATAGTATTTCTTTAATACATATTCAAAGGAAATCATTAGCGCAATGTTATTGTGGTATCCAGGGTTTTTTTTATTGATAATTAAGTCATAACCAATTATGAATTAGAATAATTATATGATAACAGATTTGTTTGGTAATAACATTCATTTAGATTATGGTTGTTAACTATGTAAAAAAAAGCCATTCTATACACCTTAAATATTATAATTGCTTCACAGGTTATATCGTCTACATGCAATGGTTGCTTTTGTTAAAATGCATGTAGACCACGTGTTGTTCATAATATAATATTGTATTTCGATTGCAGGATTATCGATTACTTACACGTAATATGCCTTAAGCGTTAGGAGAAAAGAGAAAAAACATTTACCTGCCCGGAACCAGAAACCGCGGCGACAGTACTCAAATCAGCACCGCACACTTGCAACCGGTCCAACAGTACGTCCAAGGCTTTGACCCACATAACCGTTGGCGCTGTCACCTCACGGTACTGTCTGTCTTTGCCCTTAATCACGCCGCCATGAGTCCGGAACTCCTGGAGCTCCGTGTCGAAATGCACTGTGGCCTCGAAGATCTTGTGCAGATCATCGTCGGCAATAACTCCTTTCAACTGCGGTAAACGTTTTAAATGTTCATATAGTCTGGCGGTAATATGATATTATAGTTTATAAGTCATGAAGGGTATGTAGTAGTGTAGAACACTAGTACCCTATAACATATTTTATATATACCTACACCGATCGTATGTTTTTGGGTAAAATAAAACAGTAACGAAAGTTACTACTATCTACTACTATCTCGGGGTGAGCTGAATCAGCGAGGGTGACGATCTAAAGAATCGAGAAGTTTTTTCTGGACTTTCCGTCAGATGTTAGTTATATGCGTAAGATATTATGAACCAGTTGATTTATTTTTTAGTAACTAAGTAATATCCACTTCAACTTAAAAATGTCCTGACTAGGTATTCAAGTTCATTAGTGGAGTAGTCTGAGAGATCTGTTCGTCATTTGTTAATTTTTAGTTAATATTATTACATTATACATTTATATGACAATTTAGACTAAACTTAAAATAGGTAATATTAGCTCAAGAAATGTTATTCCAAATATTTATCAACTGTCGATCGTTCAATTTATGATTTCGGTACCTACATGGTTACAAGTATCGTCTATATTATCTATCTAAGATGATGTGGTTAACGCCTTAACGGCTGTTGTTCGCCCAGGACGGAAAGACTCAAACCAGTAACAACTCATGGTCAGTTGGTGTTACACTGTAATCGCGTTTATTTCGTAAAGTTCGTATTTTCGTTTGCTCAGTGTTAAAAAAATTGTTGATTCATTTTTGAAGGACATTATTATTTGTTGCTGTTAAAATGCATTGTTATAACGAACTTAATAGCAACAACATTAATAATTCAAAAAATGTATACATCAAATACCACAGGATACATATAGCAACACCCCTAAAAGCAAAGCTTGTACTGAGGGAGCGAATTGTTATCACTTTTATACAAATAAATTGAAAAGCAGTCTGCTAATTATACTAATACTATACATAATAGTACAACAATTGTCCACAGGTAATAGTCGTATTGAAATTCTTTTATCGTTGACAAATCCTTTATACTTAAGATAAGTTTTGAATGACTTTAAATTATCAAACTGATTTATATTAATATTTAATAAGCGACATAAATTAAGACTAGTATACAGGACACATTTTTGTCTAAATATTGTTTAACACTTCAATAAACGTATGTTAACATTTTGGTTATATCTAGTATTATGTTTATCTGATCAGGTATTAATTGTATATGTTAATGCAAGTCTACTAGGTAAAATTAAAAACTCTTAAAATTGTTTACGTTGAGTTTTTCATAAATTAGAATAGTATTAGTTTGCATAAGAAAATTTAGTAAATATTTAATACACCATTTATTGTAACATTGAGATTAAATAAAATATGTTATTAAAAGTTCTTCCCCAAATGGATACACCATATGAGAAAACAGATGGTACTAAAACTAAATAAATATTTTTTTATAATTTACATCTAATATTTACCTGCGGGCTTCATTAAATACATAGAGAAATGTTCATAAAATACCATTAATATAATTTACATGACTATCTCATCTAAGTTTATAATCTATTATTAAGCCAAGATTTTAATTCATTGACTTTTTCAAGTTTCATAAATTTCAGGTTACAAATCACAATTGGTATTGAAATAAGTATTAAATTTTAGAGTTTAGATGATCAAATTATGTCCATGTAAAACATTATTAACATGTTACCTAATTGAAAAGAATAAATTTAGATTTTAGAAAATTTAACTTTAACTTATTCTTACAAAACCAAGCATACACATTATTTAAAATCTCATCTGCTTCGTGGTACAAATTATCGACTGTTGGTTCAGATATTATTATATTAATATAGTCGTATTATCAACAAAACTTAGTAATTCCATATGACTATTTATATTTGTGTTCAATTAATCATTTATAAAAAAAATAATTAATAGGTGGCCTAAGATTGCGGAACTCCACAAGTTATACCTCTAGCAGTCGTCTTACCTGAGCTATTTCCAGTCGTCTTACTCCATTAAAGCGTCTAAGTTTAGTGGCATTATAATGAGGGGGGTTAACCACACTCAATCAACATTTTTGTACATAGTCATTTTTTAGTCGGTTATAAGGTCATCCAATTTCTAAATTTAACCCCCTCCCCTTAAAACAAATTAAAACTCTAAGTACACTTAACTTACGGTTGCTTATGTTTTCAAGAGTGAGACATGTGAAAATGTGATGACAGAATTTTCGATAAAACGAATATCGTTTAGCGAGGAAAGTTTTGTTTTCGAAATAAATTGTGCGATAAATTATCGTTGAAATGTCAAAACAAAAATGTAATATTGTCTACCATCGTATACAAATTTTAAACTGATACTTCAATGTTTGATATTTAATTATTCAAAGTGTCCATAAGCCCATAACTAGCGCTGTGGAGGTCAATGATTTATTGAAATTATTATTATTAAATATTATAAACATGTTATCTAAATTAGTATACGTTTAGCCATTTAGGTTATTACAAACTGAATTGTTTATTGAACCTATATTATTCATATACGCTCATCACTCATAACTCATATGATACAGATGTTATCATTGCTGTATTAATTAAATTGTGTTAATTTTTTTAATTAGATATAAATAAATAATGTTATTCAAAATAAATATGTATAGAGGTATAACGATTTATAGTAGGTAGAATTGAAGTGTATCATTGATAAGTACAGTTCATAAATAATATATATATAAATATTATAATAACTATACGCTTAAAATTTAAATATGATGAAATATGAATTTCTTATTAAAAATCAATTTAATTATGTATATTTGTAAGATACTTATGGTTATATATACCTGATCTTAAGATGTATGACTAGAGTAAAATTATAATCGGAACAGATAATAGTATCAATTTATACCCACGCACGCTTAGTAGAAAATTAAGATTCACAAAAATATGGACAGTACAACTGCAATATTTAAATGTTCTAAAAACATTGCTAGTGAACCGGTTGATAACAATTTAATCGCCTACAGATATCGCATGTTACCGCACCCTAACGACGCCAATTTTGTTGAAGAAAAAAAATGTAATATTTCCGCATAATAGTATCCATACCCAATGATCCATTGTGGAATATAATAAAATACAATCCAAACAAGTACTTAGGTACTGGCGTACGTAACACATTTCGTCTTGCGACTTTTTAATGACCCATAAAATGCCATATATTTTATTAATTTCCGAAGGAGCCGAAGTATCGGGTGGCTAAAAAGTTTATTAAACTGAAAATTGTTTTCCAATAAAATACGGATTCGTGGATTTTTCGTGGGATTTGAGGTAAAACAAATGAGCTTTTACGTATTGCCGTATTGATATTAGGTACCTATGTAACATATATAATTTAATTTCCACCTGTACGGACTACGATAAATCTTATATTATACAAATTGATCATTGGCACATAAAACATAAGGTAGTCGAGACCTACCTATATATGCCCACTAACCACCCACCTATGTTCACGGTCACGCGATATTTCGAAACGGTTTGTACGCCGAGGATAATAATATATGGTTCACGGTTTATAATAAATGCAGTAGGTTTATAATTATTTTAATATTTTAAATATATGTAGAAGAATAAATAATACCTGTTGCGTGCTGAAGTCCAGTCCCAGGTACGTGGTGGGCATCATGACGTCGACCGACGTCGGGAACGCGTCTCGGTAGTGACGGCAAAGTCAGCCGTCCGTCGGCGGTTCGCTCGTCATCGCCGTTGCCGCCTCCTCCTACTTCTACTGCTTCTCCTCCGATCAGTGACGACGGCGACCAACTAGGTAATAGGACGGCGACGGCCGCGGCGGTGTTATTATCAATATAATCTCCTCGGCGGATCAGACGTTCCGGCGGAACGGCTGCGGCAAAACGGACATTATCGTTATGCTATGTACATTATTATAATATTTTTTTAAATAATATTTTAACGGTTACAAATAATATAATATTGTTATTAGGCGTATAACTATTATTATTTTTCATTACATATAGGTATGTACACGGGCTGTGCAAATTTATCCGATTTCTTATTCAAAATAATATTATGATTACCTGGTTGTATTCAAAACAACACGCGTGTGCGGTGTGTTGGCGTCAATTTAAATCGTGGTTATTGTAGTAATGCTGTAGTTACTGTACATGCACGGTGTAACGTATATAGCCACGTAGATATTTCTGTCGCGGTCTATATGTACTTACCGCAGTACGCCTATGGGCTATGATAAAATATAGTAGGTATACTAATATATACGTGACTACGTGAGTTATGACAGCAAGTATCTATTTAGAGATTAGAGGTATCTAGTCATCTAGCTACCTATAATTTACCCACCTGTAGGCCGTAACATGTGCAGTGTGCGCGCTAATGTACCCGCATACTGTACAGTCGTAAAATATTCGTGGCCCGCGTTTACGATGGTTATAATTAATAAAAACAATAGTACTGCGTACCTACAACTGCATCATACACCGACAATCGAGATGCAGGTGAGCGATGTTCGTTCACGGTGATGTACCTTAAAAATCCGTTTGCGTCGGCGTCTTCGACGCGTGGAGGAGAAGTCGAGTTCTAGAGAGGAAGAGAGAGAGAAATACTAAACGTTTTTCGGACCGTGACGCGTGCGTCCGACGGCCGTGATTTCCAGCGCTCTCGACTCTCCTCCGACCATCGCCTCTCGCCACTGCAGAGTCACGGTCTGACCACGACGTATCGTTCCAAACCTTAGTCATCATCGTCGTTATTATTACTATTATTATTATTATTACAGAGATGGTTGATAATAACACCTATATTCTACGCGACACTGGAGTGCATGGAAATAATCAGGATACAAAACAAAAGCAAAAATAAATAAATACCTGTCATTTTCACATTAACGGCATAGAATTTTAGAATGATTTACTCTATCGTACCTATCTAGTTAAGGAAGTTTGGTGAAAATAGGTGAATATGGTCGTCTCGATAACTAAATCCTCGAAATGGAGTCATGGGGTTTATAGTGATTGTAGATCAATAACATCGCGATATCTAAGAAGTATTAGTTAATAGGTAGAAATCATTCAGGGGACGACAAGAGGGGGCGGGGGTGGCAAAGAGTGCATAAGTTTTTGCCCACCTCCTGTAACGTTACTTCGCTTGATTTTTTGATTATATCAATTTGGAATTTAAGTTAAAGTTAAATAGTTCGCACCTATGTTTAAAACGTTGTACCCTTAACTCTTAAGATTAATGAAATAATTCAGAATTTTGTAAGTAACTAAATATACGTTTTACTAATTAAGAGGGAAGGGGGAGTATTAGGAACATCAATTAATGCTCTTTGCACTACGCTACGATGTCATATAGTAGCACAGTACGCATATTGACACGTTAGATGTATAAATCCTAGAAAAGTCCGTAATACATGAATATTAGATTTATTGGCAATCGTTTGCCCCTTCCTCATTCTATAACGTTTCGATATAGATCAAAGGAACTAAGAAGTGATAAACACAGAATATTTCCAGATCTGTATTTTATCATCTATCATAATATTATTCATCAGTCATCACATATGCGCAACGTAGGAATTAGTCGTATTTTATTTTATTAACTTTTTAATTCAATCTATCCGATATACAAGTACCCATTCAACTCATTCAAGTACCAATTACCAAAATTAGTCTCGAGATTTGTCAGACCCAGTTTTTGGAGAACCTTTTTATTTTGCCAAATTAACCGATTAACCAGGTACAATGTAGTATATGAATGTACATACTATATATTGTATAAAATCATCTCTTTCGGTCCCTTCAAGTCTTATACTATTTACTACTTATTTCTATATTCCTATTATAAGATACTATTATAACAATCCTATCCTATTCCTTTTTGTCCTCGATTAGATGGACTCGCCTGATGCCTACTGTTGGTGCTCGTCGATAAATAAATAGACACACAAATAAAACTCTAGTAGTAGGTACCTGATCGTGTCTCCAACATTTCATCCAAATAGTATGTAATTCGTTATCGACATGAATCTATCAATCTGATATTCTTGAGTAAATTGTAAAATAAGCAATTTTAAAGTTCAACGAAATAGTGCTGTAACTGAGAGGATAAAATCGAAAAATTTATTTTTGCATTTTATTTATTTTAATAATATTATGATTTTTCATCACAAATCACGATTTTATGATAACATTGTCAGTCACAAATATAGATAATATTATATCAGTGCTGGAAAATCTGTGATAAAGACATTTTCTTAACGAACAAGGTTAATTGATATCATAGACCATAGTCATAGTGTACTGATGCACTTTGAATAACAGTCTTGTTAAACACATTTTCAATTTCATATTTTATAATAAAAGTTATTATATTATATGTATTTTAAATGTTGATACTATACCACAAAATTACAGAACAATTGATATAACTGAAATTATGACGGACTGGTCGCTGTGAATAATTGGAGTTTTGGATGTATGGTGTAAAACTTTGGTACCTAGGTAGTTTTATTCTGTTTTTTTGTGGTAGTGGTACTTACCGAAATAACGAAACGAATGAAATATAGTTCATAATGTTACCGGTGAAAGGTATATGTATGGAAATGTGTCCCAAAGAGGAAATGATGATGTGAGTAAAATTTAATTTACCTAAATTATTAATAAATTATTGCTTAGGGATTTGATACTTAAATTAATATAATGTACTAATTTAAATATACAATGTGTAAAAAATTAACATGTCATCAATAATATAACTTGGGCAATTACTGGTTTGGAGTTTAAGTCCATTTTGTCCAAGTTTATTATCCCAAGAAAACTGCAATAGTTACCTGTATATATTGCTGTAATTAAATGTGTATCTAGTTCAGGCTATGCATTTTTCAAATATACTGTTTAATACCTGCTATTTTACTCTATTGTACTTTGTTAATTTGTTGTGTTTTTTTGTCTAGGAGAAAATCTAAGAGACTTGTACACCAGTTGGAATGTAACCCTCATAAAATGGTTAAATGTTTTAGCCGTTCAGCTGCTGGTAATTCATTAAGCAAACCTCATATTTTAAGACCAACACCAGTTCTAAGGAAAACTATATCATATCTCCTAAATGAGTAATATACAACAATTATCAGACTTATAGGTACTTATTAGTTATCGCGAATATCTAGCTACAAGGCGAGCTTCTCACGCTAGCATGTCATTTTGGCATTCTATACTCAATCATCACGGCGGCCTCTGGGCTGCTGTTTTAATATGCAAACACCCATACTCCTGTGAGTCATTGCACACACAACACTCATCATTATCATAAAACTGTTCATAGTACAGATAGTACAGATAATCAAATAGTTTATGTAATACCGAACAGTTATGGTAGTCGCGTTCCCCAATAAGTACCGACTCCTCATAATATTGATTATTATTTTGTTACTCTTAAACGTTTTTAGGGTGCTCACTATTAAAAATGTACCATTTAATATTGTTTATGATTTTATTGATGACCGTTTAAATTCTATAAGACAAGATGCCACTATACAAGCCGTGTCTAATCAAGATTGGATAACTATTTTGCCACCTATTATTCGGTTTCATGCATATGCAGCTTATAAGTGAGTTGTAATATTAATATATTATGACGTTTAAAAGAAATTAATGTATTGTGTTATGTACTTTTAATTTTGTTCATAGATGTTATGAATATGATGTAAACACGTTTGATCCGTTTTTAAATATGAAGCATTTTCATGAAAGCATTTTTAAAATTGTTAAAATATTGTTAGAAGACTCAGACAGATCAACAGATGAACTTTGCTCAGAAATGGTATCTCTTCTGGTTGTTACTAATTTAGGTGATTATAATGTTCTTCAACAAGCTTTGCCGTTTATATCAAAGAAGTCAGTTTATAAATAATCAAATTATTTAAGGTAAAGTTTACTTAGATTTTTAATGATAAATTGTACATCAGTATCTTACTTTGTTCTGTGTTTATACGGACATTTAAAAAGTATGGTATCAAATATTAGTCATAATGAACATAATATAAGCAACGTATAAAATATTCAAAACTTTGGAAGTTGCTACAGCCAAATTAAATATTTATCTAAGAGATGAAGACAAAACATTATTTGAACAGTTCTTTAGCTGTAGCACTTTTTTACATTTCCAAACCTTTCAGTGTTATGAATTATGATAGATGATTTAAGATTATGTATTCATAGTCTTCATAGTTTACTAAAATAAAAACCATAAATTATAAACAATTATATTTTTAAATTAACTACAAAGTTATAGAGTAAGATTCAGTAAAGACTATTAATAAATTGCCATTATTTTGTTTTTCTGGTATATGTATATATATAATTGTTAAACCTATATATAATTTTGATGTGTTTTGTTTGAAAATGTTACCATAATTGTGTTAGTCACATTGTAAACCTAAAGCTGTAAAATGTAAACTTTATCTTAAATTCAAATTGAGATTACATATTATTTTGGTTGTATATGTATGTATTTTTTTTTTAGAAATACTTTGATCAACATGGCAGTGCTATTATCACTAAATATCATGAATGGTAATTTTGGACAATTATGTAAAACATACAATACATTTCCAGCCATACATCAGTGTGTTATGAGTGTACAATTACCGATGCTAAGAAAGTATTAAATATTTAATTATACTTTTTTTTTTCTATAGTTTAAATCTAATTTGTTTAATAACATTTAGGAACATATTAAAATCAATGTGTATGGGTTTTAATTGCAAAAATAATTACTATCCAATTTCAATCTTATCTAGAATGTTATTGCACAATGAATCACGAGAAACCATCAAAGAGTGTCAACATTACTGTTTAACAGTAATTGATGATAAAGTGGAATTAACTAAGTCTTCATTTAATAATGAAGTGGATGAGGTGAGACAAAATATAAAAATTATTCTCAATTGGTTGGTTTGATTTCTTTGAAAGTTACATTTTTTAAATATTTTCTTTTATATAAAGTTGAAATTTTTTAAACTTAATGATTTATTCAAATCATAGTTAATCATGGTGATTTTTGATTGTTTTTCGGGTAGGACTATACATTATTTTTAAGGTTTTAGACATTTTTTTGTTTTGTTATTATTACACAACTTAATGAATTATAATATTACGGTCAGAAATCTATTTTATTATTTTTTCTAAAATCTTTTGTCTTCTGATTTGTAAATACTTAAAAAGTATTGGATAGTTTATTTTATTACTAATTTTTATCTATTTCCTTAATGTTAAAAAAATTTAATTCTGTTAACAATAAGTATTAGATAACATACAGCAGGGAAACTTTAAATTAATAAAAAACAAAATTAATATTTTTTTTACAGCAAAAAAAGGGTCAGTAATCAATATGTTTGAAGTCATTTTTTTAGAAATTTGCACCATACATTTATTTCTACTGTAATTTAAATTATTATTACTAAAACCAAAAAATAATGATTTAATGCAGCAAAATTTTGATATTGATTGTAACCATTTTTTTTTTTTTTAGTTACATTTGATAAAGGAGATCAAATTCAAAGTTAATATATCAACCCTGGTTCTTAACACCTAATATAAAGATATTTTAAGTGTTATTTGTAAGTATTATATAATATTTAGTGACATTTGTGCCTGTTACAATATTTTGTATTGTATACAAAAGAATTATTCTTTTTGAAAATAAATTATTTTGTTCATAATTTTTTTTTTATTCTTTTAAATGATTGAACATGCTCATGTTTTAAAATACCTGTTGGTTGAAAAATGTTACACTACTTTTTCACCACTTCAACCAACAAAATCTTGTCTGTCACCACATTATATATTAATTTTCCTTCAATATTGTTAGATCTGTAATTTTAGTTTTCAGAGGTAGGCTGTGTGCGTGACTAGCTTTATGTTGTTATTAATTAATAATGAAACTAACTAATTTTGTTTGATAATTATTTATAGTTAAATTACAATGCATCAATGTATCTTAAATAATTGAGACTTAACTAAAAGATGACCGGCCAAGAATAAAATGCTCATGAAACTTTTGTGCAGTAAAAAATTACTGGAACAAAGTAATTCAAATAAAATTTCTGAACACAAATACTCTTAAGTTTTGACGTAGACTCGTGTTAATAAACCTGTAACGTGTCTCGGTTTATTGACAATCATTAATGGAAAAGGAAGTAAAATATGAGAGTAGGTAACAATATTAAATAAAAAAGAAAAATGCTTTGATTTTGTTGCTTATAACTTATAAGCATGGCTAATAATTGCATTATTGGCATTAAGAAAATCATGAAATATTCATGTTAAATACTTATTTAAACACTCAAAAATAGTAAAATATTTGTTATATAGTTTGATAGTTATTAACAAATTCATTGAATATTGTCAAAGAACAATGGAAAGAATAAAATCAGAAGATGTATAATATTATAATTTATAGTTGATGAATAAAAATTAATCTTGAATCTACATTCTTAATCAACATGGTAAAGAAAATATTTTTTTTTGTAATTAAACGCCAATACAACCATTTACAAAGATTATGAATTACATACTAATAAGTAGAAAATAAATGAAAAAAACTAAAATATAGGTCTTAATAATCAAATAAGTAATAAAATAGGGGAAAAAAGTTAACTTGCAGGTTGAAAATAATAATGTGAATTCAGTAACACAAAGTATTTGGTATAGTAGATGATTGTGTTCATAAGAAGTGGTACAAGTGAGTTGGAAACAGGGATTTTGGGCTCTGTAAGAAAAAACTCTAAAATATATGTTAGAAAAAAGTCTAAGAGCATTTATATCTAGAATTGGAAAGAAGAAACTTAAGAAAATTTCAGCTAGCATTCAACTTTTAGGATATATATATAATATATATATATCCAAGGAAAAGTAAAGAGTAGTCGTACAGACAGTGGATTAATGTAAAGAACTTAATGTGCATTTAATGAAAAATTAAAACTTTTAACACTCGGCTCATAATTATGTTAACATATAGACTAAAACAGAAGTTAGAGGAATAATAGATTTCAAAAAGTAAGCAATATACTATTGCATACTTAAAATGTACTGACTGCAAAAAGAAATAAGAATTCATTTGTACTTAGATAATATATAAAAATAAATTATATCAACACTATAATTTACATTTATTTTTATTTAATTTTTTTCTGAATTAAAACACAAAACAAATATATATTATAAAATATTTTTAAAACTAAATTATGCACACATGTGATTTATAATTGTACGCAACATTCTGCACCAGGATATGCAGGCAATTCTAATTGGTATTTTTCTTCCAGTTCTTTGGGTACAAATCTTCCACCTAAATAATGATATTTTCCTTTGAAACTTTTGGCACATTCCTTTGGTGCTGTCAACGAAATCAACAGCTCTGGATTAATTCCATCACTATCAGGAATTCCTTCTATGCTCCAGCCGCTGGGGACATCTATGCTACAGATTGGTTTGTCGACTGTTTTCAACGCATTCATGACAGGCAGGAATTTTGCTCGCACTGGTGGCTTGAAACTAAAACCAAACAACGCATCTACTATGAGGTCATATGTGGAAATGTTGTCAGCCAGAGAATCAGACACGGGCACACCAGAAGTCTCACACTGATGAACAAGGTTACTGTACAAGAGCTTGTCGGTGCGCACAGGATAATACACTTCGGATAAGTAACCAAATAGTTTCATATGTCTTGCACACACCAGACCGTCACCACCATTGTTACCCGGTCCACAGAGCACTAACACTCTTGGGTGACTAATTGGTGGAAAGCATTTTTGTATAGCTGTGGCACAACTTAGGCCAGCCAGCTCCATTAATTGGTCAACACTAAATTTATACACATTAAACAATTCTTGATCGATGTTGATGGCCTCGTCTTGTTTCAAATATTTTACCATTGTGATCTGCCGTACAAGCGAAATGTTTTTAGAAGTTAATTTCCGAAAAATGTTTAAGACATTTAACATTTAAAGAATAATCTCGATTCTCATTCCAAATTAAATATTAAAACCTAAAAAATACCATTTGCGTTATTACTTGTCACCTTTCGGTTTAAACAAACAAGGTAGTAGGTACCTACCTGGTACCTTATTATACTTTATAGGTACCTGACTGTGGCTCAACCACGACTGAATAGTTAATAATACTCAAGTGGATAAATTAATTTATAATTTTCAAGGCTTTCAAAGATCGGAATTCAACACTAAACACTTGGGCACTCTCTTCTCTTACCTCTTGACGAGGATTATTTTTTATATCATTGTGATTAGATAAAATTGTTATTATTTTGAATTTTCTTGTTAAACTCTTATCACTAACATATTTTAATACTTATCACAGACACAGAACAGCAGGTGGGTTAACTTAGTGTAACCAATTTATTTTCAAAAGCTTCACAATTGTATAAATGTATTAAGCGCAAAAATATTAATAAAACATATTATTGTATCAACCATATATTCTATCTTACAAAATCATCAATTATGCTAATGAATATGAAAAATTTGGGAAGTAGATAAGTGTAGTAAACTGACGATTCCAAAAGCTTTTGAGACAAGCGCAATAAGTACCAATTTGAACTGAAGAATAACGTTTATTTAGCAGAAAATATGGTAAGTGTATAATATACTATAATATAATATAATATAATAGCGTGTGCGTGTGTGACGAGAAGTTGCTCTGGTCTCCGTGGCTATGATACATCTGCCGAGGCTGTGCTACTGCATGGCTCCCTTTTAAGTGGTATTGGCAGGGCTGGCGAAAGTTATGGGCGACGTGGGCGACTGCCCAGGGCGCCAGCGCGGAAGGGGCGCCAACTGAAAATTATTTTTATTTAAATTATATTTTAATAGGCATTAGCAATCTGTACAATTTGAAATATTCATTATCTAATGTCGTTTTAATTGAAGATGCGTCTGCAATTGTCTCATATTTGTATTATGTAAGAATAAAACAGTGTATCGATACCGCTGGTTTTGATGTAAAAATAATGCACGGAACTATGGAACATGGAAGCATACCACCGCATTTGTGTGTGTCAATAAAATATATAGATAGTCGTAATAATAATTATTTTCATATTATATTTACCGATTTATAAATAAATTCATAAAACTAGACGACGACGTCTAGATTCGTTAGAAAAACCGCGGCGGCAAAACCCATTAGGACCTTACGGCTAAAATACCGCGGTGTAGTGTAATCAAAAAGACACAATATTATTGTCTGACGCACACTACGAAACCGCGGAGCTCTGTCATTTGGATGCGCGAACGAGTAGCGTTCTCTCGCCGGCGGGACTATAATACACTTCACAGTTTCACACACAATTATTTATTGTTATGATTCAAAATACATACTAATTTTATTTAACTTACTAAAAAACTTATGTTTTACTACTACTCAAACTAGACGGGGGAGGGGGATTAGGTTAGATTCTGCGCGTATCGTAAGAAAAACAACCACAACATAAAAGACTGAAGGAAGCGCATGTATAACGGGAAAAATCAAAAAGAAAGCGAAAGCGCTAGTCAAGAAGCCGGTTTTTCTGTTAAATTTAATGTTTATTTTATATAACTTAATACCTGTGCCAGTATGCACCGGAAACGATTGTATTTATATTAAACCTAGCAATAAGTATTTAGCAGTAAGCAACTCTAAAGAACTTTACGCTACATATGATGAATTGTACTATACTCAATGGCGCCCGCAGGGGGGGGGGGGCAAAGGGGCCATTGCCCCTACTGGGAATTTTTTTTTAAATATTGTTTATTTAATGTCACGGCGTCACGCATATTAATTATAACATAATTTTATTGACTCAATTGAGATTCATTTATGAAGTTATGTAAAAATTATGTATTTATTATTTTAATTATTGTTCACCAAATGATTGATAACTCGGTTAAATTAATGATAGAGAATAATAGATTAAAACTGAAGTCAATAGTTTCATCAATATTTTTCCTTGGGGCACATGGTCTACCATTAAGAGATCATTCTGATGATTCTACGATTTGTTGAAGTTAGAGTAGAATGTGGTGATACTATTTTAGAGGATCATTTTAAAAATGCCCCAAAGAATGCAACTTATTTGTCTCATCACATTCAAAATAATTTTATTACAATTTTTTGGACGGTTACTTCAAATATTATTTTGGAACAAATTAAAAAAGCTGAATGTTATTCTGTTCTTGCTGATGAATCAATGGATATATGTGGAACAGAACAAATGTCTATAAGTATAAGATATACTTTTAATGAAAACGGATTAACAACTACGAGAGAAGATTTTCTGGGATTTATAGCTCTTAATAAATTAGATGCAGAAAGTATTTCAAATTCCATTATTGAGTCTTTGCTTAATTGGGGCTTAGATTTAAATAAATTAATTGGTCAAGCCGTCAAGGCTATGATGGTGCCAGTACTATGTCTGGCCATATTAGTGGGGTTCAAAAATGAATTCAAGATAGGTATAATAAAGCAATATATGTACATTGTTCAAGTCACCGATTAAATTTAGTGCTAAATGAATTAAATTCTATGTATAACAGAAATTCGGAACACAATTTCAATTATCAAAGAAACAATTATTTTTTTTAAAGAAAGTTCTCTTAGAAATTCAGTTGTTCCAAGTTTGACAAAGTTATGTTTAACAAGATGGTCAGAATCTCACAAAGCATTAAGAA